GCCCTGTTTGAGTTCCTGTCCTGACTTCCTTCAACAATAATATAGAAGTGTAAGACAAATAAACTCTTTTCTCCCACCTTGCTTTTTGGTCATGGTGTTTCATCACAGCAATAGAAACCCTAAGACAAAGGGGCTATGATAAAGCACTATAGACAGTGAGTATCACACATATTTCTCATGGTTCTGACACAGGAAATCCAATATCAGAGTACCAGTGTGGCTGGGTTCTAGAGAACCTCCTCTCTTCCAGGTTGCACACTTCCAACTTCTGTGTACTTTTGTTAGCAGAGGGGCGCCTCTCTCTCTCTCTCTCTCTCTCTCTCTCTCTCTCTCTCTCTCTCTCTGACTTCTTCTCATAAAGACTTCTTCACATAAAGACTTCTTCACATAAAGACCCATTTGTCAAGGTTCTACCTTCATGATCTAGTCACCTCCCAATGGCCCCATCTCCAAATACCACCACATTTTGGATTCTAGTCGTCAAAATCTAGACGTGAACATGTAATCCATACCATCCATACCAGTCAGGTTCCTCAGAAACAGAGTTTAATGCAGAATTTCTGTGATGGATTTCTTGAGAGATTACTCTCAGGAAAGATTTCCAAGGATCAGGAAATGAGGAACACAGGGAAGAAGCTGAACAAAAATATGAGTTCAGCTAATGGTCAGTGTCAGCCTTGTCCTGGAGAAAGAATAGCACTGACTCAGGCTGGCCATTTGTTTGCTCCATCTTAGTCACCGGCTGGCAGAGGCTCTCCTCTGCAACCTCAGTTCCTGTGGATCACTTGGTGTGTGGAGGTCTGGAATATTTGCAGGTGCAACACATTTAGCAGTCAAATCATTCAGCACCTGAGGGATAGGTTCTGCCAGGGACAATTATCAGGAATAAGTCTGCAGATTTCTCAGTAGGGATAGTGATTCACTGAGAATAAATGGGGCAGAAAAGTATGTGTTTTATGGATGAGACCTTATGGCCATCCCTCTCCACATGACATGACTTGACTTGGTCCTGCCATCATAACTAATCATTTCAGTTGCAACATCACCTAAGAAACAGAATCAGGACTCAGTCCATTGTGGGCACTCTCAGTTGAACTCTTCACAACAACACAAACACAATTTACTTTTAAAACGCAAGCCTCAGATGGATGTGATGCTATATTTCCTGCACTCAGAAGACTGAGATAGGAGAATTAAGAGTTTGGGACCAACTTCGGATATCTCATGAAACCCCGTCTAAAAAAAAAAAAAAGAAAGAAAGAAAAATCCTAAAGCGAAACATAAAATAATTTAAGATGCACACAGAAGCAAGTAAACAACAAAATGCATAAGCCTTTAGCAAAGTGTGGAGGGAGGTGCCTACAGTACCAGCCACTTAGGAGGCTGAGGCAAGGGAGTTGTCACTCAAAATCAGAAATGAGAAACCAGCCTAGGCAACACAGCCAGATCCCATCTCAAAACATAACACAATTACAAAGTGCGGGGGGGGGGGGAACAACAGCAAAACCCTATGGAAGTGTCTGGGGCATAAGTATTTTCCAATAACCCTGAAAAATCACACGAGCTGCAACTAGCCACCCTACTTCCCAGCTTTGACCACAGGTCCCACCCCCTTGGGGGATCAGCTATGCATTTAAAGAAAAGCTTATGGTCCCTGTGGCGGCTTTATTGAAAATAGTTTCTATAGGTTCATGTGCCTGAATGCTTGGTCCCTAGGTGGAACTGTTGGGGGGGTGATTAGAGGAGGTATATCACTGGGGGATAATGCTTGGAGGTTTCAAAAAGCCCACACTATCCCCAGACATCATTCTCTCTGTCTCTGTCTCTCTCTGATTCGTATTATAGATCATATGTAAGCTCTCAGCTACTGCTCCAGGGCCCTGCATGCCTGCCTGCTGCCCTGCTCTCTGCCATGGTGGTCATGGGCTCTACTGTCCTCTGAAAGCCTCAATTAAATGCTTTCATTTTATATGCTGCCTTGGTCTCTTCACAGCAATGGAAACATAACTATGATGCTCTCCTATCCTGAATTAATAGTTTCTTAATGTTATTGTTTTATAGGAGTAAGTCTTTTAGGTAACATTCCCACCAAAGAACACAACTTGGAAGCTAGAATGGCTCCTTGTCCTCTGAGTGTTCATCTCACGGGTGTCTAACATGGCAACTCAGACCATGAAACATATTCATCTTTCATGGTCTGTCTGACCACATGAAACTAATCATCATCACATTTTAAAATGAGATGTAAGCCTGGCTTTCTTATACTCATTGTTTTGATGCTTCTAGATCTTTTTTCTAGATGGAATAAGTTCATTTTTATGGACCTTTTTAAATGTTAATAACATTGCTTCAATAGTATTTTTAAAACTGACTTCCATTTTCCAAGGAAATAAAATAAAGGGCAATTTTCAAACAGATCAAGCCTCACCAGGAATAAAAATAACAAAGAAAAAACCCCAATTACTTATGAAGGACATTTAAAAAAGAGGGGAGCATGGCTCTAACACAAGAACATAGCAAATTACCAACTGTGAGTTTTATATTCATCAAATAACCTGGTATTTCTTTACTTACTCTAAGATGAAACATATTTGAAGAATTCTTTAATAGCCCTCATTTTTAAAAAAGGTATTCTAGCCAGGTGATGGTGGTGCATGCCTTTAATCCTAGCACTCGGGAGGCAGAAGCAGGCAGATTTCTGTGAGTTCTAGGCCAGCCTGGTCTTCAAAGAGAGTTCCAGGACAGTCTCCAAACGACAGAGAAAACCTGTCTCAAAAAAACAAAGCATATTTTAGGGCTTATTCCACTAGTATTAGACAAGGTTGAGAGGCAAGGAGCTAAGTACAAAGTACTGCAGAAACAGACTGTGTCCTGGCCTCTGTCTCCTGGTCATCTGAATTCGGTTTTGTGGTTTAACTCCTTGATGAAGCTTTTGAATTCTTCCCATTATACCAGAAACTAAGGTGCCAAAGAACTTCCCAACTGCCACACATGCACAGTCTCATTCTCAAAAATAACTGGCTACATTATAATATCATTTGCACCATGGTTGAGACCTCCTACCCAGCCCCAGGAGTTTTACAAGAGGATCATGGGAAGACATACACTAAAAGAGCTCTGGTGCACTATGGTGTGGGAAAAAAAAGGGTCATCTCACTCCATGAATATTCTACTAAACTCATAAATATTCATAAAACATATTTACAATCTATATTATAATACACAGTGGGCTGCTAACTCCCCCCTCCTCTATCCCCACATCTGAGTGAACCTTCTCTATCTTCCTCCAGAGTGGAGTGTACTATCCTTTGCTTTGTCAACTAAACTGCTTATCTGTGTCTCCGCTGAACCCTTTCCTTTAAGAAGACAAGAAGCAAAAACACAAACACAATCAAAACAAACAGAAAAGGCTTCTTCAGCAGACAAAGGAGACACTTGTCTTCAAGCCTGACAACCTGAGTGCAACCCCTTGAGCCCAAATAGTAGAAGGAAAGAACAAATTGTCCTCTGACCTCTACATGTATGATGGCATACTTGTGTGCACATTTGTGGCTGTGTGTGGCTGCACACACACACAAACATAAATAAATAAATAAATAAACAAATACAGCCTTTAATCCCATTACTTGGGAGGTAGAGGCAGACAGATCTCTGTGAGTTCGAGGCCACGCTGGTCTACAGAGCAAGCTCCAAGACAGACTCCAAAGCTACAGAGAAACCCTATCTCAAAAAAACAAAAAAGGGAGAGAAAAAGAGATAAAAGCAGAAACCTTTGCCTGTACCAGGACCCATGTTGGAAGGTATTGTCAAATAGGCATTACTTCTCATAATAGCACTAATATCACCAGATCAGGGTGATATTACGCCCCACCCCCTTGCTTGGGCTGACAGTGATTACACTCATGATGTGGGCGGATTACCAACACATCACACTGTTCCCTGCAAAGTGTTGGTTTTAATCCCAATACACTAAGATGAGAAGGGCAGCTACAGATTTTGTTGCCTCAAGCTTTCTTGCAATGACTAAATTTTGTTTCCTAGTCTTGTAGGCAGACAAGAAAGTACAAGAGAAGTATATCTTCTCCTGAACATGATGTACCCTTTACAACCTTCAGGAAAAATTGGTGGCATCTGGCAAATGGTTGCAACTTAGTGGGTATATAATCACCCCTGTTAAGATGGGTGGATGTGTTAGTCACCTAAGCAACTGTAATGATTGTCCACTTGATGAGCTCCAGAGTCAGTGTGGAATAGAGCTTCTAGGAGACAAGCGTGTGGTGTGCCCAAGAAAGAGCTCTTAGATTGTGTTTATTGAGGAGAGAGGATGTTAGAAATGTGGGCAGTTTCGTGAGCTGGGTTCTGGATGGGAAATAATGGAAAGAGGGACCTGAGCTCAGAAGCAAACATTGTTCTGTTCATTAACTGCAGGTGAAATGTGACCAACTGACTCAAGCTCCTGCCACAAGGATGGACTACAACTTCAATAAATCCTTCCTTCCTCAACTGCTTTTGTTGGGATATTTTCAGCACAGCAATGAGAAAATTAACTAACATAGCATCCAATCACTTTTTCATGGCACCATGTCTGATTTAAGTTTGGTAAAATATCAGTTAAGGTTCTGTATATAAAAGAGTTACAAACACAGGCCTGAGACCAGTAAGTACTGTTGGGAAACCTGGCTTAGGCCTGGGGTGGGGACTTAAATTTACAGAGAATTCTAGAACCTTTTCCAGAACAGATAAACATCACTTACTATGCTCAAATCCATTGTATGAACAATATGATTTATGAACATTTGCTACCCTCTGGAAATTTGGAATTTTGGTATGTGCCAGGTCCACATAGAATCAGCCCTCAAAAAACAACAACAATGAAAACAAAACAAAAGAAAAAACTTGAACACTGAGTCTCTAACAAGCTTCAGCAGTAAACTCAATTTTACATGTGTCATCACACACCATTGCTGTGGCATGACATAGAACTCCGATTCCAAACTTACTTTGTGGTGCAGATTCCATCCAGAGGGAAGAAAGATGGAAGGAAGCATTCACCTCTCATTTTAAGGGCATTTCCTGGATGGTTCAAATATTGTATTTTAACTATCCCAGTGATCAAGTAGTTAGTTGACCACACCTATATGAAAGAAAGATTAGTAAATATAGTGTATATTATTGATAGGATAAACTCAGCTAAAAAGGTAACGCGTATCATTGAGGGATAGAAATTGGCTGTTGGAGGTAATTTTTGTTCAAGAAGAGAAGTTATTGCAGATCTCATTAAGATGATATAATTGGAGAACCAGGTCTGAAAGCATTAACTATAATTCACTAATATGAATCTTTGCACAACAGAACATTAACAAGAAGTCTGCTTGTTGTTTCAAAGAAATCAACACACTAAAGCCAGCTATGATAGTGTCATACTACCATATACTACCAAAAAACACCAGGCAAATATTTTCAGTTTTGTTTTGTTACTTTGAGTATCATAGTTAGGGTTTTTATTGCTGTGAAGAGATATCATGACCACAGCAAAAACATTTAAGTGGAGCTGGATTACAGTTTCAGAGGTCTAGTCCGTTTTTCATGATAGGGAGCATGGCAGCATGCAGATATGGTTCTGGAGCTGAGAGTGTTACATCTTGCAGGCAACAGGAAGTCAACTGATAGTCACACTGAGGGGAGCTTGAGCAAAGGAGACCTCAAAGCCCACCCCCACAGTGACACACTTCCTCCAACAAGGGCACACCTACTTCAACCAGCTACACTCCAATAGTGCTACTCCCTTTAGTGGCTATTTTCTTTCAAACTACCACATTGAGACAGGGTTCCTCTGTATAGCTTTGGAGCCTGTCCTGTATGTAGACCAGGCTGACCTTGAACTCACAGAGATCTGCCTCCTGAGTGCTGGAACTAAAGGCACGCACAACCACACCTGGCTCCCATGCCTGTAATCGTAGTACTTGGCGGCAGAGGCAAGAGGCCTCAGGAGTTCAAGACCATCCTTAGCTAAGTATGGAATTTGAGTCTGGCTTGGGCTATGAGATAATATTAAAAAAAAACCCAAAAACCCAAAGCTCAAAACAACAAAATAAATAGGTCATGACACAAGAAAGAGGACCATGAGAGGAGAAGGACAGATCTTAAGTGGAGGAGGAAGACAGTGGAATACATGTAACATGATAATGATTATATTGGGCACTTCTGTCTCATGGAGACTTCTGTTCATGAGTTTTCTTTCCCTGCTCTTCACTTGCTTCCTGTCCTTTCCTGGAGACTGGTTTATTTCTTCATTGATGGAATTTATCCTAGCCTTCCATTACTCATAGGCAAATTCTACACACTATTGCTTCTTTATTACTGCTCAACCTTATATTTTTCTCTTCATATTTCATGAAATATTAAATGGATTAGATGAGACACAAACTGTGGTGGTTTGAGAGAGGAGAGAGAGAGAGAGAGGGAGGGAGAGGGAGAGAGAGAGAGAGAGAGAGGAGAGAGAGAGAGAGAGATCTATGAATAAAAGTCCAGGAATCCAGTAGTTGCTCAGTCCCATGAGTCTGGGGAATCTTAGCTGGTCTTCTGTATATGCTAGAAACAGACTCCAATGCCAATGAAGGAATGGATGGATGTGTAAGGGCAAGTAGGTGAATGAACACATATCACTTTCTTCTTCCAGTGTCCTTTCAGCAGAAGGTGCGGCCCCAGAATAAAGGCATGTGCCTTCTAGCCTTAAGGTCTGGATTAAAGGTGTGGTCATCCAGCCTTAAGATCTAAATCAGAGGCATGCTGTCTTCTTGCCTCAAGATCCAGATCAAAAATATGTCCTCCCTTTCTGGATTATAGTCCATTCCATATATACAGTCAACCAAGAATAGCCATCACACCATAGATTCTTTTTCTTTAAAAAAAAACAATTAAATATTGAGCGGTCTCTACTTAGCTTGTATATAAGTACTTTATCAAATATATGATTAAAAATATTTTCCAAGGTTGGGGATACAACTCAGTCATGTGATATCCCAGGTTTAATCTCCAGTGCCACAAAAGAGACACACAACAAACAAACAACCCCAATACTTCCTAGGAGTCTGTGGCCAATCCTTTCATTCCAACAGTGTCCTTCCTAGGGATAGTCTGCCTTTTGATAAAATCCAAGTTTATCCTTTTAGCCTTGTATTGATCATGTCCCTGATATCTATCGTGTCTCAGAAGTGCTTCTCCTCTGCAACATCATGGAGATTTTCTACTGTTTTCTTCTGGACATTTGCAGTTTTAAGGTTTATGATCCATCTTGATTCAATTTTTGTGTAAGTTTTAAGGTACAGATCGATACCCATTAATTGTAGATGGCAATCCAGTTGATCCAGCCAGCACCAGTTGTTGAAAAGGTTCTTTTTACAATGGATTGCTTTGTCATATTAATCAAAATTTAATTGCAAATAACTTTTTTTCTGAGATGTTTTCCTGTGCTATTAATTTATATGTCTTTCCATTCTCTAAAAATGCCTGGTAGCTTTAAATAAGTCTTTAAATCAGAAATAAATCAGAAATTGTGAGCTCCCTAGATTGATTTTCTTTGGCACTGTGCTGGTTTCCATAGGACCTTTCCCTTTATCTAAACATGAGAGTCATTTGATATATCTATTAAATAGCTTGAGAGCAAGCTTCGGCATTTTCTGCCCTCCAATGAGTTGGCTCACTTAAGTAGTAAGATTATTATTTTCTTCCTTGCTTTTAGCATTTGTTATGTTATAATATCTCGTGTTTCATGCATTATATTTGTTTGTTTTCAAGAAAGGGTTTCTCTGTGTAGCCTTGGCTGTCCTGGAACTCACTCTGTAGACCAGGTTGTCCTCAAACTCATAGAGATCTGCCTGCCTCTGCCTCCCGAGTACTGGGCTTAAAGGTGTGTGCCACCACTGTCCAGCTTGTTTATTTTTTGTTGTTTTTTCCATCTCAACCAAAGTTTCCCCTGCTCTTCTCACCCCAGTTCCTCTCTCCATCTTCCCATCTACCATCCACTCCTCCGCCTGTTTCTCTTCAGATATAGGTGGATCTCCCATGGATATCAACCAGCCATGGCATATCAAGCTGCAGTGAGACTAGGCACTTCCTCTTCTCTTAAGGTTAGATGAAGCAATTTAGTAGAACAAGTTCTTTTTTTAACATGGCAATTTACTTTCCATTCCCCCAACATACCAAGATATTAGATATTAAAAGTCCTTCAAAAACTAATACTGAACAGTGCCAAGCTTCCCCAGAGTCCTGCCCAGAGCTTTTTAAACTTTAAATTCCAGTAAATAAGCAAGAGAGAGTTCATGTGCAGACTCCCGAGTCTCTTGCACAGTAGAAGTCCCTCATCCCTGGTACCCTGCTTATCAAACATAAAATGACTCTATCATTGAACTTTAGACTTTTTTGTTTTACACAGAGTTTCTCTGTGTAACAGCTCTGGCTGTCCTGGAACTAGCTCTATAGACCAAGCTGGCCTCAAACTCACAGAGATCCATCTGCCTCTGCTTCCCAAGTGCTGGAATTAAAGATGTGCACCACCACCATTGCCAGGCAAATTTCAGTCACTTTAGTTCCCATCCAGTGAGCCTGCTGTTGTGTTAGTTTCCATAACTTTGTACTGTGTTTAAAAAGAAAAATTCCAGGCAGAAATCCAGAGAGAATGTGATCACTTTGTTTCTTTTATCTCAAGGTCACAGTATCCGTTGTCCAACCTAAAAACAGTTGCTTTACATTTCTATCTAGAGTAGCAGTTCTGCACTGTGGGAAGGAAAGTCCCATACTCACTTCTCCATCATGGGTGGAGTTTAAAAAAACAATCATTCCATCTTGCAATGGGCAATTTAAATTCTGTTTCTATAGTCGATACCTTAAGTCCACTATCACTCAACTTTACCTGTAAATTGTTCTAGAAGTGATACAGTTCTGTCAGTTTTGTGATGACTTTCCCTGTAATTTTGATAATGTTTTAGAATATAAACTATTCTTTATTCGATCAAGTCATGTGATGATTGAATTTTTCAGTACATGCCAGACTTCTCCCAAAAGAACTTGTACTTGCTAGTGATGGAGAGCAGGGGGCGCTACCAACCTGGGTTCACTTTGATCTACCGCCTGAGTCTGAGCTCAATGAATAGTCCAACTCTCCAGCCTTGTTTACTACCTTAGTCTTATCTCAGTCATACCAAGGGTATTCACCCTCTAGATAGTTCACTTCCCACGTTTCCTGTTTTCTGTTTGGTTACTGTTCTTTATTCAGATTTTAGTGTACTGTGCCCCCACTCCCTGATAACCATCAACCCCAGACTTTTTGCTTCCCAAGCAACCAATGTACCACTGAGCAATAATATATCTTGAATCCCTCACTTTGTTTTTATTTTTGTTTGTTTTTGTTGTTTGCTTGTTTGTGGAGGACTTTCGAGGAGGTTTTCTTTTTTCTTTTTTTTGGGGGGGGAGAGTGTTTTTAATTTTTTTAGACAGGATTTCTCTGTGTTGCCCTGGCTATTCTGAAATTTACTCTGTAGAAGAGACTGGCCTCGAAGTCACAGAGATTCACCTACCTCTGCCTCCGAAGTGCTGGGATTAAAGGTGCCACCACTGCCTGGTTTGGAAGAAGTTTTTAAGCCTCCTTCCTCCAATAAAGAAAAAGTAAACTATTGATATTCTGTAGATTCACAATTTATCTGTCATTTCTGGCATTTGGTTAGCACGAATGAGGGAAGAATTTGGGATTGTACAGTTCCCAGAGAAGCCTTCCACTTTAGCATATGCCTATATAATAAGGTAAGTGAATTTACAGAGAATGTTAAAAACTATGCATCTCAAAAATGTATACACGGTCTAAAAACAGTTTTACAGAGCGAGGTGTGGTGGCCCACGCTTGTAATCCCAGCATTCAGGAGACTGAGAAAGAGTGCAATCAGCCTGGATTACAGATAACAGAGAACCTAATCAATCAAACAAACAAACAAAAAACAAAAACAAAACAAAAATCTTGCAAAGGAACTATTAGGTATATAATGAAAACACAGCACAGAGTTTCCAGAGATGACAGATCTGATGGTTTTGATTTTAACATATTAAGAGCGTTCTTATAAGAAAACAAAAGCATCCAGGTGG